TCTGCTGGGCAGGGTTAATAGGTGCACTTGATGTTGTTGAGCCTCGTACAGTTACGTCACATTAAAGCTACTATAAGGAGTTTTTTTTTTCACTTTTATGCAAAAGACTGAAATTCATACTGATGCCTTTTTATCATACCCTGAAGCAAACTGGACCACAGTGACCTATCTCTGACCCTAAAACTAGGTTGACCATAATCTGAAACCCCCAAATCAGGACACTACTGCGTGGGGTGGAGTCATGGAGTCACGCGTAGTAAATTTTGATAGTTTTTCAGGTCATTTTTTACACACCTCCAACTCAGTAAGTCCATGCAACACAAACTTAAAACTTCCAAACAAAACCCTAGACATTTTAAGTATTTTATAGACTCCCCTGGACAGGCCGTACATCCCCCCCAAAAGAGGACATGTCCAGGTAAAAAAGGACGTATGGTCACCCTACCTACAACTAACCCTGACCCTTCCTAAGCCTAGCACATGTGTGTGTTTGTGAATATCTCAGGATTTAATTTTGAACACTTTATCGAGTTTCAGAATCTTTTCAAAAACTCTAGTGACTGTAATAACGCTGGTGTAGGTGGAGAGAGCTAGGCGTGTTCATACGCAGCAAAAATTCTAGCGCAACATCCACCACTTCGTCCCTAATTAGAGTCTTTTGCAGTCAGAACGTAACAACACAGAGTCTTCAAGGATAATTAACCAAGACAGAAAGGTGGAACCACCTTGTGGCACAGTTTGGTACTACAGGAGTACTAAACGCGTACTGTTTACCCTCTTAAGGTCCTTACACACTGGGGCCGACACAAATATAGAACGCGAAAGTAGGTAGTAGAGTAGAGGTTTCACACCGCTGGATTTTATCGTTTCTGCCAAATATAGTCGAAAAAGAAGCTAGCTGGATAGCTCCCCGCACCCCTCCATTTCTAGGCGAAATGTTAACCGATTAGCTTCATACTTGGCGATTAGGCCTATAACCCTGAATGCCGCAAAAACGTTCGTCTTTGCAATAACCCTTTAATTTTTTCCTGCAGCGGGTGAGTTTTTTTTTTTCAATATGAATTAAAACAAAAATGGAAATATACTGACCCAGCCTACTTTCTGCGCACAAATACAACATTCAAACTCATGCATGCACACCTTTACATGCACACAAACACACACACTGCTCTCTGTCTATGACAAACACACACACACACACACACACACACACACACACACACACACACACACACACACACACACACACACACAGGAAAATTAATGAGCTCTCATTCATAATCCAGGAGAGAAAGAGAGAGAGGGAGAGAGAGAGAGAGAGACGTATTCACCCTTGGATGGTTTATTGACTGATTTCATTTATTTGTGTGGAATAAATCGGAGGTAAACATTGGCTCGCTCTCGCATTTTCTGCGACACACTCGCTGCACAGCATTCTGGGAGAAATGATCCCACCAACAGCGGGGTCACTGATTGGCTACCTCGTCAGCCTGTGACAAATTACCCAATGAGAAATAGGTTACCCATTTCCACAAACCAATTAACCTGGGTGATAGTGAAACAAATTATTACATTTATGTAATATTATTTCACATCTGTCGCTGGACTACAAAAATCTTTATCCTGGAGCCTCGGCGCCTCCTCATTGCTTCTTCTTTGTGGTTGAAAACATGCAGATGTCATAGAAACTCTGCACATCCTGTATGTATGAGGAGAACATGATCATCTTCATATTTTCAAGATACATTTTTTTTATTTTAACATATGAAATGAGGTAAACACTAGAGCTCATTTTTTCCTCAATACAGCAGGTTTAAAGGAGAGGACAGCAGTGTGACCCAACATGAGGATCGAGACCCTGTTTGAGGTCACAGAAAAAACCAGAGAGGTCACACGATGATCAGCATAATGGGACATATGAGAGCCATTTATGTTTATCTGACATGAACTATGTTATATTTCTAGATTTACACTAATATTCAAGTTTGACTGATTGTTTCATAAAATCATGGAAAAAAAAACATTTGAGTTAAACTCTATAAGTGAGAAATATATCGACTAAATCCTGTTTCCAAAACAGTTGAAACATTGTGAAAAATGTTAATTTAAAAGCACAAAGTTAACATATTGAATGTTATTCATAAGAAAATGAACTGCTTTTACAAATCTTAAAAAATTGGCACAAGAGAGAGTTTCCCTCTCTATTTTATCACCTTGTCTTTTGGATTCTGGTTTTCAGATGCTAAACTGTTCAGGGTCTCCTCTGTGGTCTTTTGGATTCATGATGCATCAAATGTTTCCAGCAGGTGACGAGTTTGAGACGATATGCAGACTAGTTTAGCACCCGGACTCTTCTACTACAGAGCCATGCTGTCGTAACACGCCTAAACAATCACAGATGCAGATAACAAGTAGAGGGATCCCTCTCCTCTTTAGACAAAAAGAGTGTCATATTTTGATTTGAGAGATCACAGGCTAGATCACGCTTTACCTCAGTCCACCTTAAATTGGCTCTGACATCTACAGCTACAGTGAGAAAACTACTAATTTGAAAAATAAATCAAAGAAATTTGAGCTTACATAAACTTAAAGTGTTGGAGGATCATTTTCATCTTAAATCTCCTCATAATGACACCGAAAGAAGAAGAGGAAGTTTGATATGAAGCAGTTTTGGGTTCCCTTTTCTGTTCGTCGGGTTAAAATATCATTGTAAAAAGAATTTACTTCAAGTCCTCTGATTATTTATCAAGTTTGTCCGCGATGAGATTGAGTTTCACAGCTGATGACTCGCCTAAATGATCAGTTTGAAAGAGAGTGTTTTGGTTATAGCCTAAAAACACTTATAATTGCTTAAATACGGAGAGGATCTATCGAGTCTATTCATTCAGTCCAGAACAACCTCATCACTGTTTTATGTAGGAACAGTTGAGGCGCTGTGGAGCTGGAGAAAGAGGTTAGAAAATGGAGATAATATTCATTATTCCTGCCTCTTTTTAACATATTTATTTACCTACATATCTGACATGTGTGCAGTGTTACATACAATGGATTTTCTTTAAATAACATTTTAAAGCTACAGTTAGTAGCCTTTATTAGTGTTGATTTTGGCGCCCCCTGTGGACAAAGCCATGCCTCTCTTCTTTGCTGATCTTTTCCTGTAGATTTTTAAGCAGTATAATCCCTCTTTTTAAGGTCCTTTCACTCAGGGACTGTTTTTGTCATGCGATTATTTTGGACGTCAATATTTTTTTTTTAACCCGTATCCTGTCAATACAAGCGTTCACATCAGCAAAGTTTTCCCATTCTGCGATATTGCAGCAGTCATTTTTTCGGATCATGGTCAATTTTTTAAAGTTTCGCATACTGTGTGTCCACTTCTGACGAATCAGATTGCTTGTTGTTGCGACGTCTGATTTACCAGTATATCCAACATGGCTGACCGGCTGATTGTTTACGTGTCGGAGAACACAGTGCTTTTAGATAAAAGACACAAATACAAAGATGACGACCTGAGGGACAACTTGTGGAGAGTCATAGCGTCGGATGTCTCATATGACGATAGTTTTTGTGCTTTAACAGTTTGCTAAATGTCTTTTTTTTTCTTTCATCTGTACTAACGTAAGCTAACGGTTGTTACCATAGTTTCATGTGCTTATCTTATCGCCTCTGATTGGCTATAAGTGCTGACCATTTGGCTTGAACGTGTAATGACATTTCCAGCTTTTCTAGCCAATCAGAGGCAAAGGAGGCGGGACATTCCCCGGCAAAAGTATTCCTCGGGATGCGTCTTTTCCCCCCGGAAAGTCACAAAATCGCATCTGGCTTGATGTGTAAAGTCAGGCGCGTCAAAATTCAACTCCGAATATTTTGTACTTTCGTGTTCTGTATTCATGTCGGCCCCGGTGTGTAAGGACCTTAACAGTGAAATGCAAATATCTGGTGTTTAAATGTAAACAAAGGATGTTTCGGTCGACTGGTGGACACTTACACTCTTCAGCAACATTAAAATATGGCATAAAGAAATTGTCAATCTTGTTGACGGTGGTTTGTCTGTCTTTTGTCGGTCACTGGGAGGTGTCAGGATTGGTTTCAGTGATCGGTTTAAAAACCCTTCACAGGAGCTTTAAGTACCAAAACATTATTGCAGTTTTTGGTTTTAAGATGCATTTTTATGGTTTGATTTCACTCAGTTTGGGATTTCCAGGCTACAAAAATGAGTAATACCCTCACCAAACACAGATTAGATCACTTTGAGTCATCCGCTGATGAGATCACCTCATGATATCATGGATAACCTCTCACCTCTGTGCATCTTAAACAGGCTCTGGGTCATTTTATGTACAGTTTAGTATTTGTACAGTACAATTTTAACCTACTGTGCTCAGAGACAGTGGTTTTGGGAGTGATTTTGAGCCTATACGGTGACTTCCACTACAGAGCTGTGTCTGTTTTTAATGCTATTTTTAATCCTCATCCCCTTTGTGCAGATATTTCTCTAAATCTTTGAATGATTTTACCCCAAATCATTAAATTCTTTGCAATTTTACATTGAGGAGGGTTATTCTGAAGTTGTTGAACAAACAGACAAACCTCTTCTTGTCTTTATTTCTAAGAGACGCAGCCTCTTTAAAATGTCCTTTTTGTTCAGATTTATACATTAACCTGTTGTTTTTTAGACACGATGGCATCACATTGTTATAATTCGAAATGTTGTCATTGCACCATGTGGTACATAAAGATTGCAGACCATCTAAATTTGTCTTGAAGATTTTGTTTACTGAGCTGAAATGCATACCTGCAAATTTGGTTATTCAAAAAGTAATTTTATATCATACAAATTGTGCAAAAGTGATAATTTAAAAAAAGTTATATTGCCTCAAACAGACTTTTTTTTTTCCCATGACGGTTTGCCTCTAAGGCGATAGCTACAGGGTTTTTTAAAAGGGGGGCAGTGGTGCAGCCTTCAGCACCGACTTGAATAAAGGAGGTTTGAATCTGGATTTGACATAATCGAAAATGATTTTTATTTGATCATTTACACTGAATCAATATTATAAACATGTCCATGAAACAAAATGGTTCAAACATTTAAAAAGTCAGATTTGATCATAAGCACAGACAGAATCTTCAAACTGAAGTTTTTTTTTTTTTTCACAAACTGACCAAAATGGGAACAAGAGTGTTTCCGCTACACAAAACATCCTATAGAACAGATTATAGTTAAGTCAGTGTCCAGGTCTTCTTCATTTAAAGTATTTCCCTTATTTTTTATTTTCATTTTTCTTGGATAGCACATGCAGTCAAGTCCTCCTCTTCTTCCTCGTACTCCTGATCCTTTCAATCCTCTCCAGGTGTTTGTTCTGCATGTCCACTGTGCATCCTCTCAGGCCCCTTCAGAGTGGAAAACAGGGGTCTGCTGGATTCTTGTTGTTTTTTCTTTATATCCACATAATTTGTCCTCAAAAGCCAACAGTCAGTCGCTGAAGCCCCGCCACAATAAGGGCTGCATGTGCCAAACAATAAATAAATAAATACAGAACAAATCCATAAATTAATTCAACAAATAAATAGCTGTCTTATGCTACATGCCAAATAATAAATTAGAGCGTAAACAGACCCAGTCTTATGAAAGAGCAGTAGCTTCAGATTCCCTCAGGTCTGGAGAAAAAAGAAAAAAGGCCAGGTGTAATTTGAACGAGAATCCTGGTTTTTGTCCCTCCCGGTGCTCCGTAAATAGATAGAGAAGAAGAACTAAAATGAAAAGATGTCGTTACTAAGTGAAGCTCATGGACACTGTGTGCTCCAGCGCTTTGCGGCGCAGCGACGCGATGCTTGTCCCTCTCCAGACGTCACTGTCCGGGGAGCTACACAGCTGAGGCGAGCCGGTCACGTTGGTGGGGCCGGACAGAGACGCGGGGACCATCCCTGGGAAGGTGGGCTGGTAGAGGTGAGACTGCAGCCCGGAGCCGTTGGACGACATGTTGGACAGACCCATGGAGTTGGGCGGAGGTCCGGCTCCGAGGCTGCACTGAGACAGGGACTGCGCCATGGCCTGCTGGCGGCCCAGAGCGGGCGGGAGCTGCAGCTGAGACACGCCGGGCATCCCCGCCGTGGCCCAGCGGGTGTCGTTGGCGTGAAAGGAGCAGAGGCTGTCGCCCATGGCCGCTGCTGCTGCCGCGGCGGAGGGGAACTGAGGCAGGCCGTGGTGCGTCGGCAGAAGGGTCCCCGGGGCGCGGAACACGTTGGTGGTCTTCTTGCGCTTCTTCCACTTGGCGCGACGGTTCTGAAACCAGACCTGTGGACGGACAGTGAGGGGTCAGGAGGAGGCTGGTGGTGCACTGACACTGACACTCATACTCCTCTGTGATAAAATAACAAAGAAATCAGGCCTGTCTGTTCGCCATGACAGTAAACCAGCTCCCTGCAACGCGCAATGTAAGATCCAGATCCACATACAGGCATAAAACTGGAACTTAAACTCAATTTTAAAAATAAATTTCGGATTACTGTGAATATTTTTATTATAAGGCTGTCTACTTTAGTGTGTTTTGCTTAATAAAAAAGTGGTAACATCAGTGTCGTCAAAATAAAACCTAAATTTACTGTATTTTGGAGGCTAAAGGTTTCAAAAAAATTAATGAAAATGGTCTCCATCTTGACCTCTGATTCCAAAACAATAAAGAAAATTATGGTAAAACTTTATTTGACGCCTCTCTATAACGCAACATAAATATATGTATATAGCACTGTATAACTATAGTTATAAACGTTCATGAATGATCATAATGCTATATAGCAATAATCATAACACATAACACAACACAAGTATTTTATCATGACTTTGAGGTCAGGTATTATAATGTGTTATAACAGTTAACAACAGTTGCATTGCGTTATCTATGTGGGCATTGTCAGTGAGTTGTTAACACATTATAATACCTGACCTTGTAAGTCATGATAAATTATTTTATAATGTGTTATGATTATTGCTATAAAGCATTATCATCATTTATGAGTGTTTATAAAAACAGTAATGCACGCGATTACGTGATTATAACACATTACACATATATTTATAATGCGTTACAGAGATCAAATAAAGTGTTACCAAAATTATTAACTTTTTTTTTTTTGTTTGTTTATTTTGAAGTCCAAAATCCGGGACTATTTCAGATCGCTTTAGCTGTGTGAATTTATTGTAATTTTATGAATCAGTTCACAGTTCTCACATATTTATTAAAAGGTGCAGATTATTATTTTTTCCTTTTTTATTAAAACTCAATTCTAAACGTTTATTTTTTAAAAAAAAACATTTTTCTTGCGCAATTTTTTAAACACGCACCGGAATAATAGAGATAAGGTTTCTGCTGTGACAAACAGACTTTATTCCGGAAGTCCTTGAGCTCTCTGTAGGTGTGGTTGAGCGCGTGCCTCTATGATTAATGTGCAGATTTGCTTGAGAAAGTGGCGCGCGGTAATAAGAACGGGACAATCTCACTCTCTCACCCACTTTCTCTCTCTCTCTCTTCGTGTATCGAGCCGTGAAATCCGGCCTGAAATGCATTACACTTCACAGGAAAGAAAATGTAATTTCTCATTCCCGTTTAAAAAAGACAGAGTGCACCCTCAGCAGCGCGCGCGCGGCATTAAGACGTGCAGAGCTCTGACAGGCACGTGGCTCTAAAATGATCCCGGACCAGCTCCTATTTATCCCAGCAGACCAGAGTCATTTCACTAATTCTTATTTTATGGAAATCCTTATTGAATGAGCCTCAGCTGTAGTGTTTATAATAATAATCATCATCATCATCATCATCATAATTATTATTATCCCACTTTATTATTCCAAGTGCACGTGCCGTGTGTGTAGTTAATAAGGCAGGGTGTCCATATTTCCTGCGTGTGTGGCTGATGTGTTGTATTTGCGCAGACTGGAGGTCAGCGAGGACAGAGAGCGTGATTACAGAGAGGAACAAAGCAGAGAGAGTGAGGTGAACCTATGAGAGGGAAGATGAGAGCATGAGCTCAGTCTGAGGAACATAAGAGCTGCTCACACCCTCATTTAGAGCCAGATTCATCATGGACCCACATCGAGAACCGGCTCTGGATCGGCCACACTGAAGAGAAGTTAAAAATAAGGATCCTTAAATTTTGTTCAAAAATAAAATAAGCCTGAAGATTTTTATGAATTTTAAATATGAGGTTAAAATATCGCGATGTATAATGTGTGGTGTTATTTGTGTGTGTAGTAGGGCCCGACCATATGTATTTTTTGGGGACGATGCCGATACCAATTACTAAGTGAGGGGGTCCGATTATCGATTGATCATCCGATTTTTTATTTATTTATTTTTTTTTAATGAAGTTTAATGTAGGCTACTGCTCTTCACACCGACAGGAAGACCAACTGATCATACTCAGACCAGAAAAGCGCTTTCAACTGCCATCTACAGGATAAGTCAGGGAACTTTTCAAATGGTGGAACATTTTCAAAGGGAAACCAAATCTTATTCTCTGCATTTTATTCCTGAAAATATCGGCAAGTTTTGGCCGATTACCGATAAATCGGTCGGGCCCTAGTGTGTAGGTTTGTAAATGTGTGTGTATAACATGCTAAACCATTTATACTGACCTAAAATCAGATTGTAAACTAATCATTTCTTTTTATATTATTATTATCATTATTATTTGCATATTTTTTTGCATATTATATTTGTGTGTGTGTATGTGTGAGTGTGTGTGTGTAGATGGAGTGTATTATAATATTTGTCCTGCACTGTAATTATATTCACTTAAATAGCTTTTAATTAAAAAAAAAAGGCTCATAAAACAAAAATGAATACAAGCTGAATTATGATGTTTTATAGGTTTTCGGTTTAAGGTTAAAATATCGCGATAAAAAGTGTGTTTGGTGTTTTTAGCAACGTCCACAAAATATTTAAGGCAACGTGATTTCCAATCACATCAGTCTGTGACATTATGGTGAAGTCTACTGAACAGATGAAGAACATGTGAGGTCCAGTAGTGACTTGTTAATTAAACAGATATCTTGTAAATAATGATAATAATTATAGTTAGAATATTAATCGTGATTTTATCCCTGATAGATATTAAAAACCTTTTAAGTCCAACTTCCTTTCATTAATTTTTAAAAATCTGGCTAATTGTGAAACAAAAAATTCAAATGTCACGTACTTTTAACGAGTCTTAAATTTGTTATGATTAAAATGTGATAAATCGATGATGAGATAAGATAATAAGAAAGATTAGATAAGAAACGTCTTTAGTCGTATCAGTCTCATGTCTTTGTATTAAAGGTTCACACTTAAGAGTTAGAAATCCGTGAATCTGAAACGGATAACATGTTAATATTAAATGTCATTTACACACGTTTGTTTCTTTTTATTGGGTTTTCTTTATATTGAAGTATTTTAGTTTAATCTGTCTTATTTATGTTTTATTTCTTGTTGATTTTCTGTCCCTTCTGTGTTACTGGTGTGCATTAGCTGTGTAATTTCCAAATGGAGCTAAATTTAATTGTTTCCTGAAAGAAATAATTCCAGTTTGTTAAATCGATTTTGATGGTAAAATATTGGTTATGAGGATGTTTTTAAAATGTGAAAACTAATGCGTAAAAGTGCACAATTAGGATGTTTGTCTGCCCTTTCCTCTCTCTTATTCTCTCTCTCTCTCTTTCGTGTTTCTACTTTAACTGAGTTTCTTCCTCATGTGGCTTTTACAATATTTGATCAAATTCTCCTGTGATGCTTCCGTAAAGAGGTCTGTTGCTTGTTTATTTTTATTTGTATGTCCAGCAGGTAAATAATAACACTAATAGCCTAATCATAATAAATCGCTCATAACAGAGGTCTGTTCAAAGTGTGTATTTAATCCCGTTTGAATGTGATTTTCGCCTGTTTTTACTCCTGTATCAGGTTTTTAGCAGGTTTGAAAGCTCCACACTCATTCAGCTCATCCTGTCCTCTTTGTATGTTTGGACTCCTCATTTCAAAACTGCACGTGAGCCTTTGTGTCTCCTCTCTCTATGGTCTCGCGCTCTGTTTTAATCCCTCCACGTTGGTAAAATTAGATAAATCTGCCTCCATCCTCCTACCTGCACTCTGGACTCCGTCAGGCCGATCCTCAGCGCCAGCTCCTCGCGCATGAAGATGTCCGGGTAGTGCGTCTTGGCGAAGCTCCTCTCCAGCTCGTTGAGCTGCGCAGGTGTGAATCGGGTCCGGTGCCGCTTCTGTTTCTGGCTCTGCTGCCCTCCGGACTGGTTCGGGTTGTTGTTGTTGTTGTTTTGCTGTTGCTGCTGCTGCTTCTCCTGCTCTTTGCTGTTCACCTGCACCGCGTTGGGTCCACCTCCTCCTCCTCCTCCTCCTCCGCCGCTGCTGATATCATCACCGGGGAGCATCGTCGCTCCCTCCACACCGTCCGGACCCGGACCGAGCTCCCCGGAGTGTCCGCCTGTGTCAGGTCCTCCTCCGCCCAGCCTGCACTTTAAAGCCTCCCTGTGGCCCAGGAGCTCCGCCGCGGCATCCTTCATCCCTGCGCACAAGACAAGCACAGCATGGTAAGAAGAAAACAGAGAGCATTTTGTCTGCTGGAGGAAAAAAAAAGACATGTTAGGTTTAAAGAACATGCAAAAGACTTGGCAGGCAAATACAGTGAAATATAGATATCTGAAAGGTTATTTTCTGCAGGAAAAAGCTTGGCATGCATTAAAAACACAAATGCAGAGAATAGAAATCGTGCAGCTCTTTAAAGCAGAGACACAATCACAGCATGCACACCACAATCTGCTCCTTAAATACTCTTAATTCAATTCGATCCAAAGATATCTTAGAAAATGGTTAAATCAAATTACGCAGTAATATAATAATAATAATTACTTTTCCAATGAATTAAGCGAGTTTAGCTCACTTCAGTCACATTAAGACCATCTAAGAAGCAAATTGACAATTTTCACAGCTTGATTTAAGATGAGAAGTCGCCTCCAGCTTACAGTAGAGTTGAAGACCGGAGTTTGGTGATGATAACTCACCGAGGCGAGCATCCAGGAGGTCGGCATGAGATAGCATTGCGCACCGCTCCAGGGCGAAGTGCTATTCCCACAAAAAAATAAAAAATCTCTATGACTTTAACCTATTTAAGAAATATATATGGCCTAAATGAAAGCAAATTCGGTTTGTGGTTAAAAGGGAGGTTCGTTGCATTATAATGTAGTTTAGAGAAATGGGGAGGCGCTTAACAACGGAATGAACCCATGAGCTTCTCCAAACGAGGACCAATCAGAGCTGAAGCCTGAGGTATGTCAGCCCCGGACCCCTCCACCACCTCCTCCTCCACCTCCTCCATCCTCTCACATCCACAAGTTCATTCCTCCTCATTCCCGTAATTGGCTTTGATTTCTCCTCCAAATTACAGCCAATAAAATAACCTGATTTAATATCTGTGTGAAAGCTTCGACCCGTTCAAGAAGTGTTGGATCACCGCAGTATTTGTTTAATTGCGCGTGCTGTTTTTGAACAGGAAGAGGGGGAACAACATGGCTGCATTAACACCAAATACATAATAAACTCTGCATAATCACAACACAAAAGTGCGTCTACTTCTAGTGCGTTTATGACCTCTTTTTACGCCTCCTGGAGACCAAGTGAACCTCCTCTAATCCCTCTGATTCCCCTCTCAGCCTAACAACAAACTTTATATAATTCTAACCACACTCATTTTCAAGGCCATTAGGCTTTTATGTAATTAGCGCCAAATCCATACACGCCTTTATTGCAAATATCAGAGTAAGATCAGTATAAATTAGTGCTAATTTACTTCTGTTTAGGCCCGACTGTCAGGAAGGGAGGGACTTGTTTTAAATGATGTGTGAGCAAATTAATTCGGCGGAAAGTGGAGGGAGTTGAACACGAGCTCGCCTTTGATAAAGGGGGACACAGTGAGTGCACGTGAATAGCTGACACCTGGGTGGAAACACAAAAGCATGTTTGGATCATTTAAAGGGGGGTTTCATGTCGGATTTTCACAATCTATCCAATTTAAGGTTTCTATTGTGCCAAATGAGACGATGCGTAAATAAAAAAGCTCAAACGTGCGTAATTTAAACCAATCTTTAACGAAAGTAGAAAATTTCACACACACACACAGAGAGACGAGTCTGTCAAATATCTGAGGACCAAAATAAAACCAGACATGTTTTATAGACAGCTGTCAAAACGCTTTTGAGGAGCAGCTTTTTGTTATTCTGTGCGTAAAAAAAGTGGCACAAAGGAGGCGTCCGAGCGTGAACCCGGGGGCTCGTTTGGCTTCTTTTCTTTCACAGTCCTGGCTTCTGTTGCTTCTGCTCATCTTTTATATGTCTGCAATCTGGTGGCACGAGCGAGCGACCGACGCAGACACAGACAGAGCGGCTGGGGGACGGTAGGAGCGGAGGAGTCTGCGGGCGGACGCACACGGAGGAGAGTCCAGCGAAAAGGAGATGCGCGTTTTGGGATGTTTCTTATCCTTCTTTTATTTTTTAAGGTAGACTTTAAAGAGATTTTAGACTGAAACAAAACCCTTTAAATTCTTATATCCTTTATTTTATCAACACATTTTTTTTTTTGCAGAATTATAAACACATAATTGACCATTACGCATTATGTAGTTATTCACTATTACGCATCCTGTATTCGTCCTAATAATTCTGTACAAATTTAATGTGTATTTCTCGCCTCATCGTCTGTTTTACAGCTCCTCGCTGCGCGCTGAGAGCCTCTAAGCATCATTTAAAATCATCACATTGCAGGATGATGGATCGCGCGCCTCATTTTACGACTTTTCAATAGCTCAGTGCTTTTATAGCTGAACAAACACACAGTGGATGACTCCTCTGGTGGCAGCAGGTCATATTTTAACCCAAACAACGAGAGAGGGGATGATGAGGCGTCAGGACGCACGGAATATTTACAGCTGAGGGGCCTAAAAATGAGGGGAAAAAATTCAACTTTGATATTACTACAAAATCTATGTAATATTTACCTGAAAAAAATGATTTTTAAATATATTTTCCACGGTGTTTTTCTCCTAATAATGTATATGTAATGGCTGCAATCGAAATAGGCTGCGTGTAACGTGGTTTATTGAGCCTGTTTGGTGTTTAGAGATTGATTCTTGCAAGATAAAATGGTTTAATCCAGAATTCTGAATCAGGTTATTTAATGCGTTATAGATTTAACGCATTAATCATAATCATTACTGGTTTATTTATTTTCTATATGACCAAATTTGTTGCTTAATACATTCTCCTCCCCGGATATTGTTCTTCCTATCTGAAGCAATGTCCTCAAAGGCATCTTTTCACTTAATAGTGCGAATAGTGTGTGTGTTTTTGTGTGTGAGTGTGTGTTTATGTGTGTGTGTGTTTCGCTGACTTGATAAGACTATAATTAAGGTAAACAAGCAGCAAAGCTACAGTCAGAGCTGCACCTTTCCCCTGCAGCCTCATACAAACACTAACAAGCTCCCATCAATCTCATCCATGACAGAAATATTAAAAATGGACCGGAAAAAAAAATCCAAACGCGAAAGTTAATGCGGTGCATCTGAGTGGAAAGTAGACACTTTCACGCGCCGTGGAGATGAGGAGTGACTTTTAATAAAAACAGAAAATAAAGTAATATAATAGGTCGGGTGTTGTGTGGAGGTGAAGTGTGGAAATGTGGTGCTCATTGCAGGGCTCGATCACGTGACCTTTTCCCTTACAGTACAAACATCCAAACCTCCCCAGGCCTGCAGGTGATTTCTGCTCCCTCCTCTCTTTCCCCCTCTCCCTCTCTCTGCAGTCTGTATTCACTCAATTAGAGATTTCTGAGGAGAAAAACAATCGATCTTCCATCTGCACGAGCCCCAGTTTAACAAATGAGATTCTTGTTTCATGCAGCTGATTTGGTGACAGTCTGCGGGGGATTAGGAGGAATAAGTTACTGTGTTCAGAGAGAAAAAAAGGAAAAGAGGAGGAGAAGAGGCTGATGCTGCAAACACAGAACCGTCTGCTTCTGCAGAGTCAAAAAAAAAGTTGACAGTGGCAAAGTTTGACGGCAAAAAAATGAGGATTTAACGTAAAACGCATTGCTTAGTTTGTCATCAGGACTCCTCTTATTCCACCATGCTCCTTTATAATGAACACATCAACCTTACGACTAAAATTATCGGTTCCTTATAAAAAAAAAAATCTAATAGGCGTTCACTAATCCATGAAACAGAGAGCCCAAAAAACCAGAGCAGGAATAAAATTCACTTTAAATCCTACTTTTGAGGCCTCCATCTCATAGTTACAGCCATATTAAATCTCACAAATCAGATGTAGGTTAATCTTTGTAAAGAAAAAAAGCCTTTCTCGACTAAAAATGCAAATATAAGCACAATTTTACACTCGTTTTATCCTATTGCTACAAAATGCGATAGCATGTATAGCCTAGCTAGCTTATGAAACAGAGACCAAAATTAAAGAGCAGGAATAAAAGTCACTTTAAATCCCATTATAAAGGCCTCCATCTCGCAGTTATAGACATATTAAATCATGCAAATCAAGTGTAGGCTAATCTTTGTTGAGAAAAATTGGCCTCTGTTGATTAAAATGTAGATATAAGCACAATTTTACACACATTTCGTCCTATAGCTACACAATGCGATAACATATATAGCCTAGCTAGCTTATGCGCATTTTATTGTAGCTAGTCGATTGTTTTGGCCTCTTAATAGTTTAAATAATACATACAAAATGTAAATATGCTAAGTTAAGCATGAAATCGTATCCAATATGCTTATTACACCTTCTTCCATATTATATTTTACCCTACAGTTGATTAATATGTAGCTAGCCTAACTGGTATTTTGGCATTTCATAGCTAGCTGCTTAGTTTTATTATTTAACAGTGTTACTTGTTGGTTTTATTTTAATATTAATACCATAACTTCTTTAATATGACCATATTTGTAACAGCCTATCATTTTTACGGGTCAAATATCTTAAACTATTTGAAATTTCACCTGTAAACTAGGTTAGCTAAACTGTATTTGCTAAATGATAATAAAAATATGATGCTACTTTATGATTTCAACTACAAACCAAAGAGTAAGCTAACTTCAAGTTAATCTGAAGTGATAAAATTGTGCAGAATTGTACAAATGACTGTGTGTCATAATCTCCCATTATTCTACCATACAGTTAAGACCAAGGTAGCTAATATACACATTGGTTCTTCCACTTAGTGCTAATTAATGTCTGTTTAAGTTGTGTGATCTTGGTAGTAAAGCAGTAATAAAGAGAATATACTGCAACAGATTTTAATAGGCTATAGCTGTACTCAGTAACAATGGTAAATACTCACCTACTATTGAAGATAAATGCTTGAAACTTGAGTATAACCATTTTTCCACCATAGCAGATATTTATCGGGGCAATATGGTTCTTTTTGCTCTGTTTTAGTTACCTGACACCCTTACGATTCCACATCTAAGATTTTACAAGAACATTAATTTGAGTGTAAATAAGACCTGTTATTTACCTTAGCATACTCTTTAACATTGAAATGCCTATAGGCTACAAGCAGGTATAAGCTACAAACCTTTATTTTACCTACTTTGTTCTGAATACCTTCCAGACTGAATTGACTTTTTGTTCGTGGCACTTTTATTAACTTCCTGGTCATTTGAATAGAGGGTTTCTTTTTAAAACAATATGCCATATTTACCTACTATCACATTATGTCAACCTTCTCTAGTATCCATCCTGCGCATGCTCAGATCAGTCATCCCCCTGCACGGGTCCTCTGGTCATATAAACCCAGATGTAAGCGCCCCTCCGCCGCATCTCATGCCTCAATTAGCGCCGCTGCCCTCTGCACGGACTCGATTAGGCCGTGATTTATCCGAAAGAAATATAATTATAGCTCCAAATAAAATAATCAGCATTGAAGAGCGATTTCCTTAACGAGATGGAGCGGGGTGGAAGCCACGGAGTAGCAGCGCCTCATTAGGGCCCTAATGAGACTTTGGGGTGATCCCGATAATTATCGAAATGTGTAAAATAAGGATCAAGTCAAATGTAACCTTAATTTGTCTGTCAATTGAGTTCATTTATTAGTGGGACTATTTAGGAAGGACTCTGTCAGCCTTTAATACGAGGTGTGTTTTTTATGGACCGTTTGGATAATAGATGTGACTGCAGCAGACAGGCTCTGTTTGACCATTCATAACCAGGAGAAAGAGGAGTCACGTGACTGACAGGGCTGCCCTAAGTGCTGGTGCCTGAACTGGAGAAGTTATAATCCCTCTCTTTGCTCTTATTACAGGAATACCTGCAGATTAAACACACAAATTAAGACTGTAAATTTAATAATTGCCTTTTTAAACTGTCTATCAGTGAGACGAAATCACAAGTGCATCAATATGGATGATTGATAACTTGTAACTTTTTTAAATTAAAATAACAGATCCTCAAGATTTACTTTTTTCGCATATCACTTAAATATGAATACCTGAATTTTCTTTTTTTAAAGCCAAAATAGAAGTTTCAACCTCTTTGACATTCACTGCTCTTCAAAGTTTAGATGAAAATGTTCTTTTTAGCACCTGTAGGGTTTTGAAATTTCATTCTCCATTTGATCAATTTAAATTGAATCCTTGTTTTTTTACTTACAACAGCAAAACTTTCTCACTATTTCACAAATAACAGTCAAAGAGACATTTTAAATAGAATAGCACCTCTTTCATTCACACTCCAGACTCTTTACTTGAGTTGTCCTTCACAGGTGCATCATGGACTTCAGGCTGTAAGGATCTGACTTCTTCACTTGGTTCTCCATGAGGACATCATCTCAGAGACTGAACAGGAACTTAGTGTACAGGACAAATAACACAGCAAGATAATGTGAAAATCAAAGACAGGATCCCAGTCCCCTGTGCCCAGTTTGTGCTCAAATAGGATGCAGTGTTTCCCCTCAGTGAATGAAGGTGCTGTGGTTGCAACATCCTGCAAACATCCACCACAAAAAGACCTCTGCAGATGCAGCTACAGTTTATGACACCGTGAAAGAAGGCACCAAGAGGACAAGATGTGGAGGGAGCTCTTGTTTTGCATTTTCATAATATAGCCAATACTAAAAACAAAGTTAAAATGTGAAAAAAACCTTAATGTTTTTATCATACTAGGCAATAAAACTGACAGTCCCACTTTATTCTTGTATTACTAAAAAAGACCTTCCTCTGGTTTCCTTGCTCACAGTCCTCAGTAACTAGAAAAAATGTCAAATTAATCAAAACATTACTCACAAAAATCATTGCTTTTCATAACCTGATGTGCAGTTTATCCACTAAGTCACGCGACTCCAAATCAATCACGCAGCAGACAAACTAAAGAAAGAAAGAGACGATAGGATAGGTACGTGCGTGTTTAATCATGTCTATGAGTCAATGAAGACAGTGTGTTAGTAAGAAGAGTAAAACCTTCAGAAAAAACTGATCTAAATCGAATGTTTTCATGTACTCTTTGGGGTTTTACACACAGGAGACGATCGATCAGATGTGGTGGCACGTTAACAGTAAACAGTAGACATAATCACATCAAGAAAAGAGAACAGGTTCAGTTCGGCTCCACGGGTGCGAGCAGGGCCTGACGAAAGGAATGGACATTTTAGAGCGAGTGAAATCTCCCAGTGAGAACAGAAACCAGAGCAGGAATCATCCTTCAAGCTTCACTGAGTCCAACATGTTTCTAGCCTCTTTGTACTCCTCTGATTCCCCCAAATCCTCCTCAGCTTCCTGCAAGGACACAAACACACAAAAACACACACAAAAGGGTTATCGTTGATTGACAGTTTTGAGAAATACCAACACACCTAAACAAAACAAAGAATAATAGACAAGCACTTAGAAAAAAATCAACAACTTTATTCATCTTTGTCATACGTTTTTCTGAACCCGATGCCAAGTGTTGTTATTGTTGACGATTAAAAGAGCTGATTGTCCGATTAGCACGCCTTGACCACGTCCTCCATTTTTATGAAATAAAAGTAGTGTCTTACTTTATTGAGGTCAAGAGTGCATTCAATGGTCTGGTTACGCAGTGGGCGCCCTCTGCTGGATCCAATAGTAAGCTACTTCAGGCGGCCTGATGCGCTAGTATACTCCACCATATTTACTTGTTTCATTGTTTGGTTGCACGTTGTGGTTTAACGTGCAAACTTACTATTCAGAAATGTTGTTTTAACTCCATTTGGACAAATGTGCAAAAAAACATTTTCTTAATGATACTTTGGTTTCAGCGCTGACTCTTATATCTATGGAAGAGGGTTAGGTCCACTGAAAAAACAAAGAAAGAAAAAAAGGTGAGATAACTTTTTTTTTTGTATTATTCTGAGAAAAAAAAATCTGAATTCCTAGATTTAAGTCAGAAATCTGACTAAAATCTCAGAATTCTTTAATCCCAGAATTCTGAGATTAAACAATTATGACTTGAAATCAATTGGACCTTTTTTTCCTCCCCCCAGAAGCCTTAATTCTCTTCTGTACATACCTTGTTACCTCTAAATTGGATAAATACTCTAAGGATTTAAAACAATAACAGTTACACTGAGTGGTGTTCTTTTAACCCTCCTAAGCAGACTTGAGTTAAAGATAAAAGTCTGACACATCTTCTCCATACAGCGTCCTTATTTATCCTTCGATTCATTTACTCTCTTCAGTTGAAATACATTCTCAGAGCCACACAATAATCAACTTGCGGCAACAACATCACATTCAGCAGAGCAAACGGTACCAGAGCATCTTTACTTCAGTTAGTATCACTTAACTTGGATCTAAACTTAGCAGTTCGGGGCTGGAGGGAGGGGGTTATGTCACAGTTTGGTGTCCATGGCCTTTAATCAAGTGTATGTGAGTTCCTGTGGTGGTCACCCCGGTGACAGCGCTGCTAATGAACTGTGATGAGCGTGTGCATATGTGCATGTCTGTTTAAAAAGACGACAGAAAAGGAGGCTGAGTGATAAGGAAGGGGACATGTTGCTAATTCCAGGTCAGCTCTCATGTGAGTGACTCGCAGCAGCAGCTGCCTGACTGCTGCTCGGCATTAATTGAGATGACCCTGAGACATGCATGCTTATGTTTGCTTCGCACCATATCAACTTCAGTCCTGGAAGGATTAGCACACCATGGCTAATTGGTGTAACATGTGCGACTTGAGTATATTCAAATTCAAGATCAGCAGCATCACAAACAAACAAGCTTTGTGTCGTCAAGCAGAAAGTTTTCTTTAGTCTGCTTCGCTGGTACTGCACGGTGACTTCACACTTGTCCACAGGAAATACGGGATTAAGTTTGATATATTTCAAACGTCATTATTAATGTGGAAGTATATCAGAACTATCGTTTAACAGTAAACATATACAGTGATGGACAGGCAAACAGAGTATAAACGTTTGAATGAATGCGGAAATTCACATCTGATAACTGCCTCGTGTATTTATAAACACCAATTCAAGATGTTATTATTCAATCACACTTCTTATGACTTGAATCCTCAGGTCTGTTATTCGTGGGTTTAACCACACTTCCCTAAGTGCTCTGCAGGTGCAAACACTAAGATTGGACGCTCTGCAGGACACCCGTCTCATTAATATTCTGTTTATACAGCAGTAACTTTTACGAGCGCCAAACAAAAGTCATGCTGCTAGCTGATTCTTGACTCTCTGAGTGTCTGCTCTGCAGCTTTACGTTGGTGTTTCTGTGTTGCAGCACTGTGGCGTGCATGTTTGCATGATTCCAATGATTGCATGTGCACAGTCTCAGGATTTTTACTCCAGCCTGTATTTCTACGACCCTGCGCGAACATTTTCCTCTTTTGCTTTTGGATGCAGTTCGGATTCTTCTTCTTTTGTTTTTTATTCAGTTAGCATCAACTTTTGGATGTGCTCCAGCCATCACCTGACACCGTCTAGTACAGCATTGAGACCAGGCTACAAAAAGTGAAGAAAATTTATATTTTTTTAAAGTATTTTTTTGGCGACTTTTGATCTTTATTGATGAAAGGGTGAAGTGTGTGTGTGTGTGTGTGTGTGTGTGTGTGTGTGTGTGTTTTGTGTGTGTGTGTGTGTGTGTGTGTGTGGGGGGGGGGGGGGGGCATGGTGCTAACCCACTCTGCCACCCAAAAAAAAAAAATGTGAAGAAAATTAATTTTTAGGATGATTAATGATAAAATAAACTAATGAATATTTAAAATGATTAAAATGATAAGCTAACTCTATCAGCAATTATCAAGAAAGTGCCAAAACACTCAGTTAGAGATAACTTAAAGACAACAGCATCAGAGCAGTCACTGTTACTCAGATGATTAAATATTCTTAAAGATAAAATAACATTTTACTCACCTTCAATATTTTAATTTAAATGTTAATCTTTCTAGATTGAGAGTTTAATCGTCCAGAGTCTGATTTTGAAGTTATGGGAGAAACGAGATGAGCTAAAGTTAGCTGAGCGGAGCGTCACAAAGACACTCTTTACATTCATCAACTTTCTTCTTTTTAACTGTTTTCTTCAGGTTGTTTTTGCTTCAAGAGGAGAAGACTTCTTCTGATTTTTCACTCTGTGAGAGATGATGACTGATTTCCAGCTCGCCTCTTTGTCTCTTTTTGATTTTGCACGAAGATTTTTACTTTTCGAGAAAACAGATTTTATTTTTCTCCAGTTCCTGTGTCTCTTTATAGACTTGAGCCGTGTGCTAAAGTCTATAAACAGACACTTTTATTCACAGATATACGAGACACAAACAAAAAGGAGTAACAGCTCGGTGGCAGAGTTTCAGCTCATGAAAAGTACTTGTTTCTGTCACACTGTGCTGTTAGTACCTGACAAATACAATTACTCTGTGTCAGTTATCAACACGGCGATAAATTAGTCACAGTGGAAGCATGAAAATAAACTTATCAGGAGTTTCATCAAAACAGTTTTCTCATGTTGTGATTTAAATCACAGATTTTTAACCCCTTCAATAAACAGCTGTTGTTGTGTGACTTACTAATAACTGAAGCAGGTCTGCGTGTGCCACAGCCAGACGGCGGTGGCAGTCTGGGATCATCATTCTGGACTCCTGCAAAACCTCCATCTGAAAGCACACAGAGACAACGACAGTGTTTATTATTAAAACCCAACCCCGCGCAAAATCATCAGATTGTAATTATTTGTTTGACTGCAGAGGATTAATTTCAAACTGGAGAAAGAGGAATATTCGTCGGCTGTTTCTCTTGTTCCTGACAGATCTGTGCAGGGTGTCCCACATACACTCCGTGTGGTTAACATCTCCCAACAAGCCAGCGCTATGAAAAATGTTATTGAGTTATCGATCTGGCGGGGAGTTGGGCAGCAGGGGAGCGCCTCGATCTGACTGCACACCTGGATAAATGAAGAAACCCTGAGCCGAGGGTGCGGTGATCAGGCGTAAAGAGGTTTTACTACACCGCGAGTGAAAGTGTGTTACAGCTGGAGGGAACTTTCACAGCCGCGGCTAATGTGGAATTCCCCCAGCTGGCACCCTAAAGAGCAGAGAGGAGCTGGCTAACGCTGTCAGACACACTCACTCATGACAGATGCTTCCTCACCTGGCCCTCTGTTGGGCTGGAAAAGTCAAAACATGGATGCATTTACACGGCTCTGCACACTAACAGGCACTCGGATGAACTCATACACAGGCAGGCTGGCAGGAGAACTGACACGCCTGAAAAACAGCAGACAACTAGTGGAGTTTGTTGCCGTCCAGATGTGACAAGGTGAGGCGGCGTAAGCAGAGTGCTGCAGAAACAGAGAAAAGTCACGGTGCCCTCTCAGTGCAGTGGAATGATCCCATCAGTGCAGGATAAAGACGACACTTACAGCGTATTGATTCCATTAAAATAAAAACCTCTAATCCATCCTGCCGCAGACCTCTCATCTCCAACCATAATCCATCTGGCCTCCCAATCTCCCCGTTTAACACCAGCCAAGCCCGCAGCTCAGTCGGTGCCGCCGCGCTATGAATGAACAAACAAAACAAAACACAGGCTGAATTTTAATGCTTACCAGTAAACATTATCGGAGGGGCTGCCAACAACTCTCTGGTTCTTCCCTGCCAGATTCTAAATCTAGATTAGCTGGGGTCTGGTACTGGTTTACTGTGACCACTGTTCCCAGAATACAGAGACAACATTGGAATAAAGTTTGGTACTTTTAATTCAACTAGTTATCAATCATTTCCGGCCTTTACCTTCCCTCCGCAAACAGCTGATTCCTGAAATAGTCACAGGCACTATTAAACCTGTGAAAATACAAGTCACAGGTTTAACCGTGGACTGATGCGTCGCCAACATGTCATGGAGAGAGGAGAGCAGGGAGAGGAGCAGGAGGAGACAGGTGTGTGCAAAGTGTGTGTGCCTGAAAAGCAAGGGACAGCAAAAGCATAAAATGCGTCTCCTTGTGTTATATGTTCCCTCATGTGTCACAACCCAGCTTGTGAAGGTAAAGGACGCAACATAAAACCTTGGGTCCGTAATGTAGAAATATGTATTTATCGCAAGAACAGAGGGATGTGGAGTACTGCTCAAAGGAGCAAATAAACACAACAAAAGGCGACTCTAAACTAGAGTGGAAAAAAAAAGTTACTTAAATTAACTCAAAACAGACGGTGAGCAGCTCCCTATCCCTTACAATTCAACACACAAAAAATTATACAATTAAACCAACACAGATTTCCTAACAAAGGGTGTAGTGAACGTGAGTGTCTGCCCCTGAAGCACTCCAATCGGCAGCCTCTTGGACCTGACGACACTCCTCCCCGATTGGTTCTGCAGATTCGGCCCATGACCCAATCAGCAGGTTGTTCCTATAGGATGCCATCCACTCACAGACAAACGCAAACAAACACTACCAAATATAGTGGGTGACATGTGTACACCCCGAGAGCGGGGACGCCACTGCAGCCATAACATCATGTTTTTATGGCACACGATAGGGCTGAGCGATAAACCGAAGATTTACCGATACCGAAATTTAAGACAATAACCGACATCATGTCACCCATATTGGTATATTTGGTGTCAAAAAATAAATAAATAAAAGTTGGTTTTGGATGTGATGTGTGTAGGTAGGCTCTGGTCTCGTGTCCCATAAGACGCTGTCCTACGTCAGAGGCGTGACTCCACCCCATCCAGTCCGTAATAAAGAGGGAAAGCCAGGTGAGGAGATGGAGGACGGTTCAAAAGTTGTAGACAAAGTTCATGTGGGAGGGGGTGAGCATCTTATGGAGTAGTTATTGTCCATTTATTGTTATCGAGGTGAACTGATCAATATATCATGACATTGATTTGAGGCCATATCGCCCAGCCCTACTGCATACAGTTTAATTACAACACAAATTTCTGTCTTTGCTTGCGGACGGCAACATAAGAAAGAAATCACATTTAGAAAAAGGTGAAAACTCTTCCAACGTTCATTAAAAACAACAATTACAACATTACACGCAGCACATTTCTGTCTTCAACTTCCTGCACTACTTCCTCCAGTGTGCAGATAAATGATGGAGGGCCAGCAGGCACAGTGACAGATAATGGAAAGTAGGTTAGGGATACTAAATCACCAGCATGTGTCAGTAATTATCAAAGTCCTCTAAAGTAACATGATATAATTACATCTGCATGAGGCAGATTACAAAATCACTAATGATTCTCCTCTCAAAACCTAATTCTTCATTATCACTGTGGACCGACCTCATTACATGACTGAGGGGCGGCTCAAATCAGTGAGAGAGGATTCACTTCCTGCATGTGATAAATGCTCAAAGCAGAGATCTTCAAATTAAGACGCATGATTGTTGTGCAGATTAAAGGACGCCAGACTCAGGAGCCACATACCTGTTTCTTGATGACATAATCGTCTCCTTCCTCCGCTTTCAGGCGCTCGACCTTCTCTTCCTGCTGCTTGGCCTCGGTTTTGTACGCTATCTCCTCTTTCGCCAGCCTGCAGAAGACAGGAAGAGAGGAAAAGACGGTTCATCGTCAGAGGCGGTGACACAGTGTCGAAACATAAATGCACAGCCGCTCAGACGGATAATATAAGGAGAGCCGTGAAAAGGCAGGCTGTGATGGTCACCTTTTACAGACAAGGCCATTCATCCTCATTCTCTCCAACGCTCCTCTGACTGAGGGGGACACACTGAGATCATCTCCCGCAGGATGGGAAGATGCACACACCTCAATAACAACAAGGGAACGCATCATTCCTCCTCACAGAGTCCTGCCATCCAAGAGGAGATCAGCTTTACTCTGTGTATTCTCATCTAGAGCGGCTTAAGATGGGATATACTTGCATATCATAGAAACGTCCCTGACGCCTGAGGAAAACGAGCTCCTGAAATTGAACTATGATGCTCATCTGACATGAAAAAATGTTTTATATCTTTGACAACCCTTGACACTTTTACACTACAACAGGATGAAGATGTAGGTGCTTTCTGTAGGCACACGGCATGATGAGTATGGGTCAGTCACTGTTTTTAAAGTATGAGAAAAAAACTTAAAAGATCATAAAAAAGTAGGACTAAAATTATTTTGTCAAGTAATTTATTTTCATATTTAAAACCAGCACTCACAGCAGAGTCCTCCCCGTCTCTCACTGAGGTGAATATACGCTCCAGCTGATCGTCAGTCCTCCTCCTGCCAGTACAGGAGTCGCCTTTTTACCGCCTTTCTAGGACTTAAGCTTGGCTGTTTCTTCTCATTCTTAAAATATCAGCAGAGAAATGTTTTCCTGCAAGAGCAAACTTCACATCCTGGCAGTGCTCAGATTGAACGGTTTCCTCTGTGCTGCCATGCAGGGCTGTGTCCAGACTTTGTGACTAAGGTGGAACAACTGAGGCACTGACACAGGCAGGGGTGGCCGGGAAAACGGAGGGGTGCACCAAATTATTGCCATTCACTAGGGGTGGGGGAAAAAAATAGCTACAGCATTGTATTGTGATATTTTGTCTGGTATTATCCGTCTCATTTACCAAGTATCGATTTTTTAAATTAATTGCTAATGAAGTCAAATCTATGATAATGGAAGAAATAAAATCAACTGTTTGTCCAATGAGGTTGGCAGAGGTGACACCAGATTTGCCAGATGTGCGTCATGAAAATAAAACAAAGCGTAAATAGGACAAACATAAAGGAAATACAAATGCTAAATTATCTTAACAGTTGAAAAAATTACATATATCGTAATATATTGTATCGCAATACTCACTGTATTGCAAAATGTTAAAAATCGCAATAACATCGTACTGTGGCCGAAGTATCATGATAATATCGTATCGTGGGGCCACTGGTGATTCCCACCCCTAGCATTCACCCACTCTATCTTCACTATCTACTTTAACAACTATCATTAGGGATATCTGACTTCTGTGTACAAGATGAATGTGTAATGCAATACGTTCAACAGTGGAGTGACTAAAAATGCAATAAGAAATAATGTGATAAAAGGAGTAAAATAAAAACTAAAACAATCCTGAGACCCTGATTTCATACATAAATGAGTTGGAACACCTATTTGTTTTTCCTAGGGGAGCATAGTAGCGCCTCCCAGAGGACATAAGAGAAAAGTCTAGTCTGTATAACCACCTCTTCCCAATACATCATCCTTTCATTGCTCTTCTACTGCCGTGTTGAGTTCACACACCCGCCACACCAACAAAAACTAAATTTGTCTTTAACTGTACGGTGCCCTCCAGCTCACAGCTGATCACTGTGCTCATTTGAGTCCTTTATCCATCCTCAAACACACACATCTTCACACACCCACACACTACTACTCCCTTTTTAGAGATTAATTGATCATCAATTTAGTCCCTAATTCAGACCAAGTCAGGTGGTAAATGGGCCTCTTTTCCTTGATTGTTAGTGAAAATGGGCCTGAGTACATTGATAAATTTTGATTATTTATCAATTACGGCCCAAATGGAACTAAATCTATTAAACAGATTCTGACCCTGATTGGCATAATGGAGTTTGAAAATATGGCTATTGATAATGATTCCCGGCTAATAGTCTTTTTCCGGCTGTGCTCCTGCTTGTCGGAATGACAACACAAATTTAATTTTTCATAAAATCAGCTGTGTGTGCGTAAGTGAGTGATCCTTCATTAATCAGTCACATTACCGGAGACCCTTCCCTCCGTGTTGCTCTGCTCCTTGCTTAGCCGAGGAAGCCAACGGCACTCTGTCATATTTTACATCAATTACCACTCATTCTGATCCGCCTCCATCAAGAAGCTTTTAAAAACGGGCCGTGTGTGTGCGCACTCGCCGGCTTGATGCAGAGTGAGTGATGTCACCTGTGTGGAGTCAAAGACGGTGGCAGAGAGAGGAGAAAGATGGAGGAGCGAGGCTGGAATCATTTGAATAAAACTGAAGGACAGTCTAATAACAAAATGTCCATTCCTCCCCTTCCACTCCTGATGTTAATTTCTTATTTCTCCCAGACTTGGAGCGCCGTGTGAATGAGGGGTGGGGTCGTGGCTGGTTTTAAATAGACCTGCCACCTCAGGCTTAATGGAAAAGGCAGCTCTCTGGAAAATAGAAAAAAAGGGAATTAGAGCCAGCCGACACACACATTCGGCCGCCCGCCTCCTCTAGCACTGTATTTTTGAGCCGCGGTGTAGTCTGTGCTGGGACCGGAATGACAAAGGCAAATTACTGTTGTCATTTTATTAAGGGCATCCGCCTCGCTAGGGCAGAAAAGGCACTGACTGGAATGTGTAGAAGCCACTGGAAATAGGCCCGGCTAAAAGAGCAGGCAGGTTTCCTCTAAACTCCGATATAGAAGGAGGAGGAGGAGGAGGAGAAGACTGAGGAGGGAGGACGCGAGATTATGAAGAAACAAAGAGCATTGGTAGTCTTTTATAGCTTAATTTTGAAGGTCCATGTCAAACTGGTGCTACTTGCCTAAAAAAGTGCGTGTTGGACATTGAACCTCCCACTTAGACAACCTCAATAAAAGCGGTGAAACATCCATCATAACAATGTTAAACTTGAACAATTATTATCACGCAGTAGACATACCTGCCAACATTTGGGTTATAAAATCCAGGAGATTCTAGCGGCGCACGCTGGGCAGTTTTGGGGCTACCTCGTACGGTGGATATGAGCTAATTATGAGAGTATTTGTAGTTAAATTGCTCATCCAAATAAGTAAAAGTGAAGCTGCACACTTTTTTGTTTTAACAATAACAAATGTTAATAAATATAATAATAGTTAGTTACCATATGCCTATGATACAAACTTATTTAGTCCACTAATATTAGTGTTTAAGTCCTCATATGTTTTACATGCTGTCTCATATGAGGCTCTCTGAACATCTGTGCGTGCAATACAGCACTCTTTTATCTGAGGCTGCCCTGAATGCATCACCCCGAGACAGTGCACGACTATCAATGTAAATATTGAATCTCGCATTTGTTTCCCTTTCACTGAAGGGTTCATTTGGCAACAAACACTGCTTAAATATAGTTTACAGCTTAAATCGTCCTGAATCATCCCAAATTGTAAAGTCAAAGTATCAATCCGGTGTCTGTGAGGCTCAGCAGAAACACAGGACAATCTTTGGTTGTCTGGAAACCTGGAAACTTTGGGCAAATACAGTGATCCGATTCCTGAATGAATGTGGATCATCAAACTACGGGAGATTTTCTGGAGAAATGTCAATAGGGGAGGTGGGCAGGAGATAAGTCTGAAATACAGGAGAGTCCTGGGAAAAACTGGAGCGTTGGCAGGTATGGCAGTAGATCTTCTATGAGCTAGCTGAAATCTCTTTTTCAGTGATTATTAGTAGATCTTGAGAAAAGTAACTGAAATTTGGAACTGAAATATATTCACAGTATAAACAAGAAACTCTCCATCAAAATTGAGAATTTAAGTATAATAGAATATCTGGCATCTGAATTCTAGCCAATCAGAAATTGTTGTGGGTGGAGCAATAGTTGAGACAAAGCATTGTAAGGAAATCGACACACCAACAGTGGAGCTAAAATAGTACAGTTAGAGAATCAGCAAACATGACCCTGCTATGATAAAACATTTCTATGATATTATTATTATTATCCTGTTTATATATCGTGCAATCTCACCCTATCATTTGCCTTGAGTTCATTTGGTAAACCTGAAAATATTAGAGAGATCACAGACAGTCCTGGTTGATGAAGTACATTATCCTTGTGCTCTTTAAGATGATCCTCTCTGGGAAATCCAGCCTCCGTCATTACCACCTCAGCGAGCCTGTTTGTAATCTGAGCCTCATCAAAACACAATCGATAGCACATTACACTGTCTCCATTGACAGGGGGAATTAGAGGTCTGCCTGATGGACGAGAGATCCTCTCAGACCATCACACACACACGACTATTCAGAGCCCATTATCCCAGCAGACCTGTGTTTTCCATTCCAGCATGGTAAATCTGGCTATTGTAGAAATTTGGGCGTGGATACGACTCTATAAATAGACCGGCTTAACTGGATGATGAGCCTGACAGGTCCTACATCAAAAAGACTCTGTTTTGTCCCATTTTAAATCTGTCTAGACATCATGTACAAAACAAATTTATTTAAAAGGTACATGTGCTGTCAGAGATATACGATCACACAACAAATCCTTAGGTTAGAAAAGAGAAAGTATTCCTTCAAATCTTCAGCCCAATCTAACCTTCTCAGAATTAGTTTCCATATGCTTGCTACAATAAATAAAAGCCCTTAGTGGACACACATTCCTGCATGTAAGCAACTTAGCTTTTTTTTCTGGGGATGTCAGATGATCATGACATGCACTGCCAGAGTTGCAAGAGCACAAAGCAAACCTTGTATCTAATATAACAAACGCTAAACTGTGTTTGTGTTTTGTTGAGGTGATGTTATCATACTTGTGCACTATAAACCTCTATGGTTGAACAGAGTATCCGCAGAGCGAACAGACCCGGCAATTCACGACACAGAAGGATGATGGTTCTCCACTTGGGCACTCATGGCTAAATCTAGGGTTCATGTCCGTTGCATAAAGCATACAAACTTCACCACAGCCTTAAAAAAATATTGAGCAATCAAAAAAGAATCATTGTGGGATATGTAACCTAACACTGGTCTTATTTCCTAACCAAGGTGTCTGTGCTTGTAGACTCCCAGTTGCCATTTTATTCTATAATTGGTTGATCAAATTACTTTCTTACAAATTCATGAATATTCTGTTTGATTTCTCTGGATGTGGATTTATGTAGGAAGCTGTCCAAGAAGGAAAAAGGGATTGTTTTTTTTAAAGATGCAAATCTGGAAATCTGCAGGATGTGACTTTAAAAATGTAAATAATAATTTCTAAATAAACAGGTTAGCAGGATTTACATTCATGTTTTCTTGACTGCACTGGTGCAACTTCTATCTATATCTATATCTATCTATACTTTGACTCAAGTACTTAAGTTGTGTATTCATCTATCACTAGGAAAGGGAATAACTAAGCTGTAGATGCTATTGTGAAAGGGCCAGTAATGGTGATAACATGACTGTGCATTTCTTAAATGTCCTACATGATAAGTTAGGGAAAGCTTTCTTGGACATAAAAACAAGTTAACAACCAAAACATGTCGTAATAATCACAAAAAAGAAATAATAGTAGCTTAAAAAACTATTATAAATACAACCGAGTTAAGACTTAAACTTGCAGCTCAGCTGAAGCTGTTACCTACATTTTTTGTATTTATTTTATGTTTCTTAGTAAACTTTAAAGTCAAATACAACATGTTGAGGCTCTACTGAGTGTACGGTTTAGCATCAACATCCCTGACAGTTTCAAATACCTGCCTAAGACCCTAAATACACATCACTGACAGGCTAACTGCTAGCGTTAGCATCGCTACTGCAACTTACGTTAAACATGATTTCTGGGCAACGCTACTTTTCTTAAACATACGAGAAAGTCAAACATGTGCTGCCAAACAGTAATACAGTACAGCAACTGAAAATAAAACAAACTACAATTCATTTATCCACAGGCCGCCCTGACACACCGGTATAGAGTAGGCAGAGTGTCCGACAAACACTCCTCCTTCGCGGGCCTGTTAGCATTGCTAAGCTACAGAGCCGCTAACGTTAGCCTAATGTTAACGGCTCCTGTGACAAGCACAATCATTCCCAACCATAAAGAGGAGACTCTTACCTCTTAACGATACCAGTCTTGATCTTTATCTGCCGTATTCTTGGATCCATAGCTGTATTGTGGGTTCTGTTCGGGTGAACCGGGCTGCTGCTGCTGCTGCTGTTGCTAACTGTGTAAAAACGGCGTGGAGGTGGAAGTCTCAAACCAGGGCTGACAAGCTGCTCGCAGATAAATCGATCTCTCAGAGTGGATGATTATCGAGTGAGTGGATCAGGATGACAAGTGCAGTGAGGCAAACAGAGTGGAGAGTGAGAGCTCAGGTCCTCATTGACTGACACTGCACCCACAAATCTGCTCTAACATTTCCTCCCTTTCACTCAACTGTGTTTCCATCGCAAATCCACTTACTTTGCAGTTTCATGCTTTCGAAGAATTTAAAAATACTCAAAGTATTTTTATTGTAAACGTTTTTTAAGCTGTATCCATGTGAAATACTTGAAAATAACCAGACTATAACTAACTAACTCAGTAAAGTTAAAGGGATATTCCGGCATAAAATTTATTTAGGGTCAAACACACTGTAACACCGAGTTAGACACCTCCTCGAGAGATAAATGTTGCAGACCGCTTCCTTCTCTAGTCATACTAACTTTAGTAACGACTGCAGGATAGCAATACACAGTGGTCTACTTCTCCACGCACAAGCCTCAACCAAAAAGCCACTCTATAGCCACAAATAATGCTCAGAACAGCACCTAACTTCATCAACAGTACATATAGGGTCCTAGCCACAGCACTAGCCACCAAACATCTTTTTAACTTTGCCTTATTTCTTTAGCAAAAAGACTAAACACAATTCACCTACTCTCTTCCGGCAGCCGCTTGTTTATAGCGAGACCTCAGGCCAGTCCATTACAGACTACAGCGGGGTGGCGCAGCCCAAGGAAGAACATTTATGATCATTACTTCATGGAAATGCAATCAGACTGTGACACTAAGACAGGAGAACTACCACGTCTGCAGTGCAAAATGATTAATATGATGATTATTACTTCAAGGAAATGATAAAGTAATGATCATAAGTAGTCTGTAATGGACTGGCGCTACAAATAAGCGGCTGCTGAAAGAGAGTAGGTGAGTTGTGTTTGGTCTCTTTGCTACAGAAATTAGGCAAAGTTAAAAAGATGTTTGGTGGCTAGTGCTATGGCTAGGACCCTATATGTATTATTGATGAAGTTAGGTGCTGTTCTGATCATTATTTGTGGCTATAGAGTGGAGTTTTGGTTGAGGATTGTTTATGGCCGCCGTGTATTGCTATCGTGCGGTTGTTACTAAAGTTGGTATAACTAGAGAAGCAAGCGGTCGGCAACATTCATCTCTTTAAGGGAGTGTCTAACTCGATGTTTCAGTGTGTTTGACCCTAATTTAATTTTACGCCGCGTCCCTTTAAGCATACATGGATGTGTTTATTATAAAACAGATCTATCTATCTATCTATCTATCTATCTATCTATCTATCTATCTATCTATCTATCTATCTATCTATCTATCTAAACAGGACTTTTCTTGTACCTGGAGTCTCCTGTATAAAGATCTCAGGAGTTCACTCATACAGTCGTGCTCTCAATGATCACTCTGATCTGACTGCAGACCCCGAAAGAAAACACAAGACCTCACTTTTGCTCAGTTTGATGTCCCCTTTAATGTGCTGAATGTGTAAATACAGTGTGATAGTGATCGATTTAAATGACACTTTTTGCAACCCTGTAACCTGACCGCTCCCCCTGACTATCTATGTGTGGTAATTCTCTGAATATAAGACACTCTGTAAGTTCAGCTCAGAATAAATGTGTTTTTATATTCACACAGTTTATCACTTAAGCTAAACAATTGACATGGCTCATAAAGCTGTGCTACAAAGACGGCCCGCTCGATATCATTTGAATCTTTGTGCATCTGATATTGATTCGTCTGATCTATGAAAAAGAATCAATTTCATAGTTTTCTACAGGGATGCTTTTTTCTTTGCAAAAAAAAAAAAAAAAAAAAAGCATTTTATCACAATTCAGTCCTCAATCTGCCAACACCATTAAAAGTTTGAGCTAGTTTACGACTTTAACAATCCTCCTCCATAATGCCACAATATTAATTATAGACTATATGATAACACGACTTTAATGTCCTAAGTGTTCAAATCTACAACAAATGAAGGGAGTAGCTGTCAAGTGAAGGTGGAAGTGTTTAGTATGATGAAGACAGGTTATTTATACTCTTTCTCAAGTTAAGAAAACCATCTTTGCAAATCAAGAAGTGATCTGAATCTGCTGTATGCATGAAAAAAAATTGACGTTAAATGTGTCCTTACTTTCAGATTTAATCGAATAAGTTTTGCAAAAATATTATTGATGAAAATGATTTATATGTTGCTTCTTTGTTGTGTCGTGGTTTAAAGACACACACAGGGATAGAAAATTTTTGAGGCAGCAAGGACAGTAAGACTGTGTACACTGTGTTTGTCTGTATGTATGTGTACCAACATACTTCATAACCAACCCTGCACAGGTCAGTGCCCCAGTTTGGCCCCATCAGAGAGTCTGGACACGCCCCTGAACTGTGCTGCAGCTGTTTCACTTCCACAATATTTCACTTTTACTGAGCTCATTACATTTTCACATAGGGAGTCTCACATTTTATTGCATACTTTGACCACATAGGTTGTAATCATTTAAACTCAATTCTCCATCGTTTCTGATTGAATTTTGGAATCCTAACCAGGGACAGGGGGGTTGCTGATTCGGGATGGATAGAAACAGGTATGCATGGCTAATTCTTACTAATGAAAAAAGAAAGAAAAATGAGACAAATAAAATATTGAATACCTCATATTTATCCATAATTCTTGCCTAATACCTCATTTTACAAACAAAAATAAATGATCTTTTAATATTCAACCACCATGACATTAAAAGAATAGAATTTTCATCATTTTCATATATTATATGTATTTTTTATAAATGTATGCTATAGATGCATGATATTGAATTTTTGTCAGATGCCTTTATATTTTTTGAACTCATTTTGACCCCAATGCTAATATTGACACATACATACACACCGTCATGACTTTAGCTCTAACGATCACTGAGTCTGCCCTGTCATTGCATTTATTTGTGTTAATCTTATTGTAACAGTCTTTTTGTTCCAGAAACAGACATAAAACAGGACAAAAGCAGCTGATTCTATGATAACATATTCTTTTTTAAATGTATACGTTCAGTTTTGTGCCTGCTGTCTGATCATTACACTCAAATACAGTCTATGCGCTCATGCGTGAAATTTATTTGCTTTATATGTAAGCTGTCATTGCATGCAGGTATTTAATGCATCACTTTTTACTTTTCCACCAACAATTATATCAGCTGATACAAGGGAAAGAAAAAAGGGGAAACCATATTTCACTTTGTGAATTATTATCCGCTATATTGTTGCTCTACCCATATATATCCTGCTTCTCTAAGACTTGTAATATTCCTTCACCTTTTTCTCATTGTTTTCTTTTAATGAAGATCTCTAAAAAATGATTGGACGTAGAGAAATTAATGATATAATAAATTCTAGGTAAGAAACACTATTACTAAGTGTTTTACATAATTTAATTAGTGCTATAATACACAAATATACAGCAGATCATGTGGTATCAAACAATCATTTGAAAAAGGATCAAACTTCAAAAATGTAAAAACTATTTTAAACCCCATTACAAATATTAGCTTTAAATTCATTAATGTCGTTTTAATGTACAGTACAATGAGTATTAATTGTATGTATGAACCCTGTGTAGCTGCTCCTGTACAGTTGGTAAATCTGAAGTTTCACTTCTCGCTGAAAGGTGTTCAGAAATTACAGAAACATGCAGGAGGATTTCCCTCTAATTCAAGATCATTGTAATGAATCCCTCTTAATTTATATTAAAGTAAGTCTAACCAGGTTAACAGAGGAAGGTGGAAAAGGTTCACTCTCTGCAAACCGGAACGATCCTGTGATGATAGATATTTGATTTGTCATGCGTAAAGGTGGGACAGTATTTCCAAATATTACTCCAAGGTAAAACACACGAGCTTATAAGATGTGTATTTTTCTCTGCTGCAGTAGACATGAATAAAATATGGCGCAGGTTGGTGTGAATGTGTGTGTATGTGTGTGGAAAGGATCTCTCCAGGCCTGCATGCAGCAGTAGAGAAATCCTTTACCGTTTAAATCTCGTGTGATTGCATCTGAGAGGAGGGAAAACCCCGGGCTCTTTCCCCTGCAGCTTCATGGCCGTTGATTATTGGTATTTTCCGAGTTTTCCAAACTAATAAGTGGCACTATCAAGCATTTGGAAGCGCCGGGAGACTACAGACGGGCTGCTCGACTTAATTGATATTGAGCGAGGCGCTGGTAGGCGCGGACGGGGCCGCTGCTGGGTAATTTGCAGTTTAATCAGCGTTTGTAATGAGAGCCGCTGATTAGCGCGGGGTGGAAATAAAAGAGAGTTACAAGGAACGTCTGTCAGAGTCCGGTGATAATTCACGACTAATTGTAATGATTAGAGCAAACTGGATGACTTTGGAGTTTTCTAATGTGCTGCCTCGCTCCTGTGTGTGTGTGTGTGTGCAGCTGTAGTCTGTGGATGTGCATGTGTCTGAGAGAAAGCTATTTATATTCCAAAAAAGAAAAAAAAAAAATATCTGATATCAATTCACTTTGGCAATTTACTCCATCAAAATAGCGTAGAGCATCCGCGTAAAGTGCGCGCGTAGAGTGTGCGTATATACGTGTGCGCGTAAAAGCGTTTGTGTGCGAGAACAAGGCTGAATCACAGAGATTTGATTATGAAAAAAAAACAGCTAATTTATAGAAGGGGGGAGGAAGGAGAGAGGAGGGAGGGGGGAGGAAATCGTTGATGGACTCTGCTGCAGCGGTGAGGCCGAGATGTATTCCTCGAGACGTGCCGCGCGGCCGCTGCTGGAATAGCAAATGAGAAATTAGTGAGAAATGTGTGTATGAACGCCGCCGGTCAATTAGCGAGAGGCGAGAGGGAGGAAGAAGGGGAGGAGGAGGCGAGGAAATCAGCTGGTACTCTCATAGTGCAGATAGCGCCTGGAGAGCGCGTGTGCACACATGCACGCACACACTGAACCTCGTGTCCTCTCCTCTTTAAACAGGCTTTATGTGATTTCCTCTAATA